AAATTTTGCCAACAAAAATAGTTCCAAACAAAGATCACAGCACTGTTTTGCATCTCTGAGCAATGGCAACTTATTGAATGAATCGGCTTTATGAACGAATCGGTTGAATAAATGATTCAGTGAATCATTCATTAACACAGTCAAATACTTTGTTCCTGAATGAATCAGCCATTTGAATACATCTGTCTAAGCTCAATGACTCATTAACAGTCACTTGCTGTCACCTACTGGCGGTTTTAATTTCACATTTCGACAATTTTTTTCATGTTTTAAAATAATTTCAAATATCAGTATTCAACGTTTTATGTTAAAAACTAAACATTATTTATCCATCTGTAACTGCAGTTTAAATGCATCCATGTCCCCTCTGAGATACATTAAACTGTATAAATACGTCAAAATGCTATTTCAGATGCAGATTCCAGAAATGTTTTCTTATGTTGGAATGAAGTACCGAATGAAGTGCTTCTTATTCTTACCCATAAATACAAAATGGAAGAAAGAGTTCAAACTGAACACAATATTGCTACTCAAGCTATATATGAACATTTTTTATATACTGTATATTTATTTGCTTCTTTTCCATTTTGCATTTACTTGTACTCTTACTTTCAATGCTTAAATACGTTTAGGACTGTTCAATTGCAACACCCGCTGATTGCAATGATAGAGCTTGGAATAGCCAGGACAATTTTTAATATAACTCCGACTGGATTTCTCTGAAAGAAGAAAATCATATACACCTAGGATGCTTCGAGGGTGAGTAAAACACAGGCTAATTTTCATTTTGGGTGAACTAACCCTTTAAGACTTGAGAGGTGAATCATTTCTTCTTTTGACTGCATAGCGTCTATAGGGCTGTCACGGGATGAACGAACGACTCAAACCCGAAGACTCGAGAGGTGAACTAATAATTTCTGGCCGTTTCTCAATATGCGTTCTTGTCTGTACTTGTGTTCTTGTGGACTTGTGAAACGTCATCAGTCGTTGCCCAAGTACTGTTCCAATTCAAAGTTCACAGGATCGTTTCTCAATATGCGTTCATGTCTGTACTTGTGTTCTTGTGGACTTGCGAAACGTCATCAGTCATCGCCCAAGTACTGTTCCAATTCAAAGTTCACATCTAGCCAAGTACAGTTCAAATCCCCGGATGTGTTCTTGCTCCGCCCCTTTCATTGAGGATGTATCCAGAGGTGACTTGTGCGAACGTGAGGCAGCCAGGTATCCCAGAATGCATTTCGCACCAACCAGCGAGCGTTAATGGCAGAGGGGAAAACCCGCATAATTTAAAAAATATTACTGTAATTGTGTCATCAAATGTAGATTTAAGAGTATTTCAGGCGAGAATGTAGTTGTTTAAAACTAAAATCTGCGGTTTATTTGTAAAGAGAGCACCTATTTGAAAATGTGCTTCGCCGATTTCGGAGATGTGAGCTCCAGGCGATCAGCGGGCACTCAGTGCTCATGTATCCGTCAAGAGCAGTCTCACCTCGGCTAGTCCTTCGGACATTTGCCGCTGGCTCTGATGTCTCGGTAGTGGTTAAACATGAGGTGAAATTCGTTTTGGGTATTTCTAACAGGCAATCTTTGGTCTCATGAATCTATTATTTCTTCCAGGTCATATCGTTTTGGCTAAGCACAAAGTTATGTTTCATAAATTATTCATTTATTTATCGTAAAACAGCGCTGACTTTGTAGCATACATTTGACTGAATTGTTTGCTTTTGTCTTATTTCCTATTACATAAGTCTCGTACTTTATAGTTATACTTTTACAATGGCAATTATTGTTCATTTAAACTGACATTTAACAAAAAAGGCAGAGTTGTGCTTGTCATATTTCATTTTATTATGTATTCAGTGAAGAAAATAAGAGTATATGTGCACATATTACCTAAACCACATATTAATATGTTTTATATTCTTTAAATGAAAACGAAAAGGGTTGTGTTTTATATTTTGAAGAAAACAAAAAGGTAGTGGTGTTTGATATAATTTTGTTTTATTGTAATGCGTGTACGTTTTTGTGGCTACTAATATTTTAAATGAAACAGAAAAGAGGCAATGCTGTTTGATATATTTCGTTTCACTGTAATGTATGTACATTCCCCGATCTACATTTTTGTGGCTATTAATGTTTAAAAGAAAACGAAAAGAGGCAGTGGTGTTTGATATCATATTTCATCATATTGTATACATACAGTGAAGATAACCGGAGTAGCCAAGGCGAGCTGACTGACGTTATCAAGTACGCTGCTGTTCCATTTGCAGAATTACCGGACTTGTGTCCTCCCGTCCTCGGGAGTTCGCACTTCCGAGTCGAACTTGCGAAGTCCGAACTACCGAGGACACAAGTCCGAACTTTGTGTACTTGGTATTGAGAATCTGTTTCCACGTGCTGAAGTTGCGTTTGGTCTCGTACTCTATTGCATACCTTGTCAGTGTCGTGCGCTTGCTTAGACCTTTTTTTGTTATAAACAGTAAAGTGTGTTCAGCTGAATTCAATTTCCGTTTTGTCCGACGGGTATAAAAAAAGGTTAGTATACCACGGCAGCGGTCGTGGCAGCCCTCCTGTTAAGACCTCCTTGTGTGAAGACCGAAGAGTATAAAGACCATTGACTCTACCGTGCGACTCCACCGAGCAGGGACACCGGCAAGGGATATAAGTATCGCTTTTGATTCATCCATTTTCCTACTATTTGTTTCACTTCTGTTTCAGTTTTTAAAACCAATTCTTACCATGTGTTTCCAGATCCCTACTATCACTTCCACTCGCAAACCACGTTTCGCACACTATAGGCAGCGCAATGCTAACCACCTGCACACTTTGCCTATGTCTGCTAATACACTACTTTCTTTTTCTATTGGTCTCTGGAATTGCCAGTCTGCTGTAAACAAAGCCGATTTCATTACTTCTATTATTAGTCATTCAAAGCTATATCTCATGGCCCTGACAGAGACCTGGATCAAACCAGAGGACACTGCTACACCTGCAGCACTCTCCAATAATTTCTCATTTTCCCACTCCCCCCATTTGACTGAAAGAGGTGGAGGTACTGGTCTGCTTATCTCTAATGATTGGAAATGTGATCCTTTACCATCTTTGGGTATCAACAGATACTTTGAATCTCATTCAGTTACTATTACCTACCCTCTTAAAATCCATTTTGTAGTTGTTTATCGACCCCCAGGACCACTAGGTAACTTCTTGGAAGAATTAGATGTGCTGCTCTCAACCTTTCCTGAGGATGGTACTCAACTAGTTATGCTTTGAGACTTCAACATCCACCTATATAAACCTCAGGCTGCAGACTTCCACACTCTGCTTGCCTCTTTAGATCTCAAGAGAGTGTTAACTACGGCTACTCACAAATCAGGCAACCAACTGGACCTTATTTACACACGACACTGATCCACTGATCATGTGCTCGCTACTCCACTGCACACCTCGGATCACTTCCTCCTCACTCTTAACCTCAACATGGTTCCTGACACAACACATACCCCTCCACATGTCACTTTTCAACGTAACATACGCTCACTCTCACCCTCCCGGCTATCTGCTATGGTTTCATCTTCGCTTCCTTCTCCTAAACAGTTAGCATATTTTGATGCTAACAGTGCTACTGATACTTTCTGCTCCACTCTTACATCTTGTTTAGACATGGTCTGCCCCTTGTCTTCCAGGCCAGGCCGTACCACACCTTCTGCCCCTTGGTTATCTGATGTTCTCCGCGATCATCGTTTTAAGCTCAGGGCTGCTGGAAGGGTGTGGCGTAAATCCAAAAATCCTACTGACCTTAATGTGTATCAGTCACTCCTCTCTTCCTTCTCTGCTAATGTCTCCTCTGCTAAAAGGACATACTACCATAACAAAACTCTCACATGTTCATTAAAACATTTTCCTCGCTCCTTTGTCCTTCTCCTCCCCCTCTTGCATGAACTCTAATGGCTGACGACTAATTTTTCATTAATAAAATTAAAAACTTCCCTCAACATTTAGACAGGCTCGTATAACCCCACTACTTAAGAAACCCACCCTTAACCCATCACTTTTAGAGAACTACAGACCGGCTTCCCTTCTTCGTTTCATTGCAAAAACAACTGAATGAGCTGTGAGGTGTCCAAGTCGCAACATCTAACTACTGGGGTGCCTCAGGGCTAAGTTCTTGGACCACTTCTCTTCTCTGTCTATATGGCATCATTAGGTTCTGTCATTTAGAAACATGGCTTTTCATACCACTGCTATGCTGATGACACTCAGCTC